CCTTGTGCTCGAACATGGTGTTCGTGATGGACAATCCGTGACTAGCACAGAAGTCCAGCAACAGAACCCCACTCGGGTTCAGATCGGGGAGGCCGTTCCTCCCGATCACCCCTCTCCAGGTCTCACTGTCATTGCCCACGTGGGCGTTGAAGTCCCCCAGTAGAACAAAGGAGTCCCCAGTTGGGGCACTATCTAGCACCCCCCCCAGGGGGGATCAACAAAGACAGACGGAGACGGGCTGCTGTTGGGCCCGTAGGCCGAAACAACAGTGAGAGACCTGTCCCCAACCCGGAGGCGTAGGTAACCGGTAAGTTCACCGGGGTAAACTCCAACACGTGGCGGCTGAGCTGGGGGGCAATGAGCAAGCCCACTCCAGCCCGCCGCCTCTCCCCGCGGGCAACGCCAGAGAAATGGAGCGTCCAGCCTCTCTCCAGGAGTTGGGTTCCAGAGCCCAGGTTGTGCGTGGAGGTGAGGCCGACTATGTCTAGTCGATATCGCTCAACCTCCCGCACAAGCTCAGGCTCCTTCCCCCCCAGTGAGGTGACGCTCCACGTCCCAACAACCAGAGGCTGTGTGCGTGGACCAGGTCACCGAGGCAGCCCCCTCCGGCCGCCACCCAGTCCTCTTTGCACCTGACCCCTATGATTCCCTCTGCGGGTGGTGGGTCCGCAGGAGGGCGGGCCCACGTCAGCCTTTCGGGCTGTGCCCGGCCGGGCCCCGTGGGCAGAGGCCCGACCACCAGACGCTTGCGTTCGAGCCCCAACCCCAGGCCTGGCTCCAGGGTGGGGCCCCGGCTGCGCCATACCAGGCGACGTCTCTTTCCTTGTTTTTTTTCTTGTCATAGAGGTTTTTAAACTGCCCTTTGTCTGTCCCGTCGCCTAGGACCTGTTTGCCTTGGGTGACCCTACCAGGGGCACGAAGCCCCAGACAACATAGCTCCTAGGATCATTCGGGCACACAAACTCCCCCACCACGATAAGGTGGCAGTTCGGGGGGGAGTATTTATTTTACCTATTTATCATTCTCTCATCTGTGCAATACCTGTCTATGTGCAATATCGGGTCTTCTGAAACTGATCTTGGTAGTAAATATTACACTGGTTTATTTCCTCTTCTGCCATACTCACTTGTATATTGTTTTTATTACTGTGTCTATTATGTTTATATTTTCAGTGCACCTTCATATGGCAGCTATCTTAAATGTTGTCATGCACCATGTTAGATGACAATAAAGCATTTTATTCTATTCTGTTCTTCCTAAGTTAGTACACTAAATTGTGTTTTTGTGCATTTTCAGTCATTCAGAGCTGTGTTTGTGAAATGCGACCTTTGACCTCTGTAGCGGTCACCAGTGCATGTATTGACCCTAAAATCGAACCACTCTAAGATAGGGACCATACCAGGTCATGTATGAAGCTTCAGGTTCAAACTGCTCTCCTGTAAAGAGCTACACTGTTAACACACAACAACAAACATGTATGCACACAGACACATGAGCCATCGGTGGGGGGCAACTACAATAAGCTGATTCCACCCCATGAACATAAAATGTTTGTGAAACTTTTGGACCTGTTGCAACAATGGATGCACATTTTAAACAGCTTTTTTTAAGCAGCAGTAAACATCATTATCAATCGATAATGGATTCATTGTTGAAACTACAGTAGACATGACTCCATATGCCAAAGCTTAACCACAGATTTCTAATATTTGCTCTACAAACGTCTCAGTTAAACAAATCATAAAATCTTAGACACACAGCCCATTTACAATGCAGCTCATCAAATTTTCCAAAAGTGATGATCCTCCTCAGAGCCTCTGTCATGGTCCAGTTGCTGCTGAACTCCCACAATCCTCTCTGCTGCCAACATGAACTGCCTGAAGTCTGAGGCCACGTTTACACGTAGCCGAGTATTTACAAAAAACGGATCTACGTTTTCAAAAATGACATGGTTCCCACCAGATCGTTTTCAAAAAAATCTTTCTTTACACAAACCCGTATAAACATGTTGTTAAGAGCTGCTATGAGCTGCCAGACCTATAGGGGGCAGTGTTACGAGAAGCCATGCTAACCAATCAGAATCCTGGAAACATGGTCGCACACATACGGCGCTGATGACGCTTTTGTCGCACACTGTGACGTCAGACTCCGTCTCCTCCTGTCTACATGCAAACATAAAGATGGAGTTTTTCCAAATCTCCACTTTGGCCGGAGTTTTCAGATGTGATCGTTTCAGTGCCTTGTAGCTTCGTTTACGTGTAAACCAAAGGCCCTGACGGATTGAGATATCATCGTTGTTGCTACGTGTAAACGGGGTCTAAGTGACGCCTCCTCTCTACAGGTTTCTACAGTGTTGGACAGTGAGAGGCTCCACCTGGTGGAACAACCAGGTACTACAGCTGGTCTATATTTACTGACATCTTGTAGAGAATACAAGTTTTCTCCACCTGTTGGAGCCTCAGAACATCTTAACCTCCAACACTACATTTAGACAGGGAGCTACCGGAGCTTTACAACAAGGTTCCTGAACACCTGCAGAACGTTAAGGAACAGTCCATAGGGAGAAATCCTGTTTTTCCCCTTAATGCGTTGCAGAGCTACTCCGTCGCAGAGCAGATCCTGCAATAGCACAACCTCCAGTTTCTGGATCAAACCAGACACGTGTCCCTTTTCTCTATTAAAACATTAAATTATAATAATCTGCAAAAAGTAACACTTTTCACTCGGCAGGGAATCTGTTTTCACAAACCTCCACAAAGAGGTGCTATTAAGTCTGAATAGAACTGAAAATGTTATTAGTATCAGCTGCTGATGGACGTTTGAAGGATTTCCATTTTATATGTTCATGTTACATTTACCTTCCCTTAAATGAGTCATTAAACAAACTTCTGACTAAACCTGATTCACAAAAGGCAAAAACTTTGATGCTACAAAAACAAATCAGCCGTTTGTCCGTTTTACACACATACACTTTATTGCAAAGGAGGTTTTTGTCCCATTAACACCTTTAAAGTCACATTTATGACAAACAGACTTTATTTTACGTAACATTTCGGTTTCTTCAGAGAGCAGCAGGGAGCTCTGACGCCTCCGTGTTCGTTTCTGAGCTGATACGACCACGAAGGCGTCGCCTGCAGCCGACTGAGCGTCTTCAGCAGCGGGACGAGTTTCTGCGTTTGTTTAAATCACGAAATAAACCTCAAACGTTTGGTCGCTTTTGGGAAGAACTCATTCACAGGAATCATGTCACATTTCATCCAACAACAACAACAACAACAACAAACAGTTAAATTCAAAATAAATAATCCAGGTGATGCCTGGCCCCGCCCCCTCATTAATCTAAGCCAATCAGATGAGATAAAACCTTCCTCTGGTGCTCAGATGCCGCCGAGGCGGCTGCAGGTCTTTATGTCACCATGTATTCCTGCCGCTTGTTCAGTCGAACCTGGCAGAGCGAGACAGCGCCGACCGCCACGTAGACGGCGGCGGCGATGAAGCAGTTGATGCCGACCTGGTTGTAGAGGTTGTAGATGTTCTGAGGAGGACTTTTACTGCAGGACAGAAGAATTAAAGGACATCTGAGCATCGGCTGTCGTAGTTTAACAAAAAAACGAAAACAAGCAGAATTACAGTCGACTAGAAAGTCAACCGAAAACTCATCTTTAACAATCGCTTCATCGCTTTAACAGAAGAAATTTGCTGCTTTCAGCTCCTCAAACGTGACAATTTGTTGCTTTTCTGTCTCATAACCAGAATATTCTGAAGCATGAAACGTGTCGACATGTCGTCGTGTGTTTTCCGTCCTCGGGACTCACTCGTCACGAATGTCCGCCTCGGTGAACGGGACGTCCTCGATCAGCACGGCCGACTTGGCGCTGAAGAAGATTCCCAGCATCGCCTGCAACATCACAACAGAGTGGGTCAACATGAGGCTCGGGGACCCAGCAGGGCCACAGGACAGGTGGTCAGAAGTAACCAAAGTCAGCTTGTGGAGCTGCAGCTACAGATGATCTTCATTAGTCACTGATTAATTTTTTTTCACTGTTTGGTCAATGAAATGCTCACAGCAGCTTTGGAAACAATTCAAGTGATTATTAGAATAATTGCAGGTTGTTTTTCTGCTTTTCTTTCCAATAAACTGACGAATCATTTTGGTATCAGCTCCTTCCTTCTACTTCACAGCACTGAAAACTGGAGATATCCAAGTTTTAGACTGTTGGTCAGACAAACTGAGACATTTCTACTATTTTGTGGCTCTTTAAAGACCAGATAGCAAAATAATACGAAGAAACACGATGGCTGCAGCTTTCCTCCTCTGAAGGATCACATGAGGAGAGAAACAGACTCACATGATTCATCTGGAGGAATTTCTAACGCTTTAATGATCCAGATCTCACCGACATGGTGGGAACGACAGTTTTTAATCACTCAAAGGTCAGAAAACAAGTGATTTTAGTCTGTTTATTGATGACCTTCTGCTTCACCTTTGCAATGAACTTAACTGTTGTCAATCACAATTTAAACTTCAAGCGTTCAGGTTCGAGCTGGAATCATTCATTATACATAAAAACCAGACTTTAGCCGCCTCCATCACGTACGTTACGCTTATTATGCTTCCAAAAAGGTAACTGATTAAAAATAATCGTGTATTGATTATTGGTGCAGCATCAGAGCGCAGTGATAGCAGCTAAAGCCCAGCTAGCTTAGCCTACGTGGGCTCCGTCTATCTACGGGAGCAGAGCGGAAATTCAGGAATTACTCTGCGCCACATTTTGCGTTAAATCAACACGAACTTCATTAAAAATCAGCCCCGCACAGTTCACATATTCAATTTTAATAAAGACATCACCGTCGCCGCGAGAAGCTCGTAGCTAAACAGTATAACTCCAGGAAATAGTCGGTCCCCGCTGCCGGAGCTCCGTCTGTCTTACCAACATAATCACACCCCAGATGCTGATCACGATCCCGCACGCGGCCATCTTCGGCCCGCAGAACAGAAGCGACGGCATGTCGGCGTTCACCTGATCGATCGAGCGATTGATCACAAACTGGTTTTACTTTCTTTTTTTTAATCTCTAAACTGAGAAACGATCCATCGAAGGACCGAGCCTCGCAGTCAGCTGATCCTCTGCGCTCGGCTTCACTCGGAGAAACTCGGCGAGTGTCAGCACTCGGCTTCACTCGGTGACCAATGAAACTCCTCCACGCCCCGCCTCTTCCGCTGAGACCGACCAATGGTGTTCAAGTTATAAAGTCGCGCAACATTCCCTTTCTCCGTCTGTCTTTGTTGATCGATATTTATATTTTCATCCGAATATGTAATTTATTGTTGATTCCAAATCAAACCACGGCCTCTTATCGGACGTGACCAGCCGAAGGTTCCTGGTTTTTAAAGGAAATCTCACAGAGCTCTTTATGGAAGCTGCTGACGTCCGGAGCTAGCTACACAAGCTAACTATAGCTAGCAGCTAGCTGTGTGTTGTCATTATTAGTTGTGAAGAAAAAAAAACAAGTTTAACGAAAAAACCTTTCACCAGCATGACGTCAGCCTCCGCGAAGGTAAACTCTCACCTGGTTCTCTTTTTTTGAACGGCAACTTTTAGAGATGCAGGTCGCACAGCTGCGCGCAACACTCCATTCAAAAATCTGCTAATTTTACGCATTGGTTTGCAGCGCAGACACATCTTTCATGAAATGTGCTTTAAATGTTTGTGTCCCAAACTAATAGAATCCGGAGGGTTGTTCGGCTCTCAGCTAATGCTCAGAAAGTGTAATGTTAATATATAAATCCAGGCTTTAGCGGTCACTAGCTGTTCTAGCCAGCAGGTGATGTTAAGCTCAAGTGTCCACAGATGGTACCAACACCGGGAAAAAAGTGGAAGTTCCACATACATGTAGATATTTACATGTTTACAGCCACTACATACTGTTTCACATGACTCTTCTTCACAACTCTCCAAATAAGTTTTTGTCACAGATTTTGATTCAACCTCGCTGACGCCCCAGTGCATCGCCAACACCTGGCTCCTCTGATCTCTGGTTCTGAGCCTTGATGCACTTATTTATTGATCCAGTCGGTTGGATTTTCCTCTTGTGATAGTTTTAGACATGTTTATATAGTTTCTGAACAGATTTTGAGACATTTTGGACAAGTTCACGTCATTTTTCCTACATTTAAGTCATTTTAAACATAAAAACTTTATTTTTGGACAGATTTATGTCATTTGGTGGAAAATGTGCAAAGTTACATCTTTTTAAAGTCATTTTGGACAAATTTATGTAATTTTGTACAACCTTTGAGTTATTTTGGGGATGAATACTTCTGTTTTTAAAACCTCTACAAACACGTCAGATGTAGAAAGATGTTCCACCATCAGCTGGATGTATCTCCACCAACTGGCTCCTCTGTTCTCTGGTTCTGATCCGTGCTGCATTTATTTATTGATCCAGTAGGTTGGATTTTCCTCTCAGTCTCTCTGAGGAAACACCTGGAAATGTTTCCTGTTGGTCTCAGCTGAGTCAGTGGTGGAGGATCAGAACCAGGAGGAGGAAGGTTCTGGTTCTACAGGATCAGAACCAGGAGTGTTTACTTTTTGACAAATTGTATAACATATTTTGAATAAATATCAGGTAACCTGCCTTTAGACCAGCTGGTGTTCTTTGGGGGGTTCAGGGGGTTAATCAGTTCGTGATCTTCTTCTGTGCAGGTCGGGGAGATTTTCTCAGCAGCCGGAGCTGCTTTCACCAAACTGGGCGAACTGACGATGCAGCTGCACCCGGTGTCCGACTCCAGCCCCGCAGGGTGACACAGTTTGATTAAACCGGTTATTCCACCGACGGTAGACACAGACATGGCAGCGATCCCTTATATCCTTATATCTGATGTTCACTGAGGTGGCTGCATGTAGTTGTAATCTGGTTTTTGGTCCGTCAGAAACTTTGGATTCTGAATAATAATTAGTTCAGTTTAAAGTTGTACGTAAAAAGAGTCTGAAAGCAGCACGAGCCGCGACGTGACGCTGAATGTGTTGATCCTCAGAGCGAAGTGGACGGAGACGGAGATCGAGATGCTGCGTTTGGCCGTTCGTCGCTTCGGAGACGACCTCAACAACATCAGCACGGTGATCAAAGAGCGCACAGTGTGAGTGTTTCAATCTGACATCTTAGTTCTTCTTCGTGGCCGTTGTACGTCTCTGGTTGTTTTTTGATTGTTTTGTGTCTCTGCTGGTGTTTTGCTTTGTGGTCTTCGTGTCCCTTTATCTTTGTTTTTTGTCATTTTGTCTTCTTGTAGTTGTTTAGTGGTCGTTTGGTGCGGTTCATGTACTAAGAAGGCAGCTCAGACGCTTTCAATGGGCCGTTTCATTTTTAATTAGGTGAAATTTGCTATTTTCGTGTCTCTCTGCGATGTTTTGTGCAGCTCACTCTACTAACGAAGCAGTTTATGCACTCTTAATGAGTTTTCAGAGGAGCTTTCATATTTGACATCTTTGTGTTTCTGTGTGGCAGTTATGATTTATGATTCGTGCCGCCTTTGTGGGCATTTTTTCTTATTTTGTGGTAATGTTGTGTTCTTGATGGTGGTTTTGTGTCTCATTGTGGTTGTTTTGTGCTTGTTTTCAGTCTCTATGTGGTTGTTTGTATTGTTTTTGTCGTTTTGTGTCTCTTCGTAGTTGTTGTGTGCATCTTTTTGTGTATCTGTGGTTGCTTTTGTGCCAGCAAATTTTTCTAAAAGATTGTCTTTTGAACATTTTAGCGTTTCTTTATAGCTCTTATGCGTCTTTATGGTAGTTTTGTGCTCTTCATGTTTGTTTTTTTTGTCTCTTTGTTGTCATTTTTTGTTGCGTCGTGGTTGTTTGGAGCCTCTTCCTGTTAGTTTTTTTTTTATTGTTTTAGTCATTTTGTGTGTCTCTGTGTGTGTTTTGTGTGTCTGTGTGTGTAGCTCGTTTAGTAACTGATGGCCTGGTGTCATATTTACTGATTAATTATAAGACGCTGTTTGTCACAGAGTTGGGAACAGACACAACCGTGACGTAAAAGTTTAAACTGTTTCCCAAAATGTAGAGCTTTTCTGTTAACCGGAGAAACGAGCCCTGATCAGTCGGGCGGCTCGGGAGTGTGATCTGGATGCCGATTGGCTGGCAGCCGCTCAGCTGGTCTCAGGGTGGATGCTGATTGGCTGACAGCTCTTCCTCCTCTGCAGAGCTCAGATCAAGAGCACGGTGAAGAGGAAGCTGTACGAGGACAGCCGAGTCCCCATTTCCTCCGAGTCCCCGAAGAAGACCGTCAAGAAGGCCACCGTCGCCATGACGCCGCCTCCCGCCCCCGCCACGCCCGCCATGATCGCCGTGCCGACCTCACAGGTTGTCGTGGCGACAGGGATGCAGAGCAGCCCCTCCCTGGCCCCGCCCATCAAGAAACAGAAGACAGCAGGTAATCAAGTGGAAATGGGACAATTTAACACTTCAAAAACGTTCAATCACTGATTAATCCTGGATTATATCAACTCACAATTACATCAATTCTCCCTGGAATTATTTAAATTCATCAACACACAAGTTATTTCACACCAGTGTTTGGAATCTGGAAGAATCGATCTTTTGTTGATTTAACGCTGCAACAGTTAGCAAATAACGTTTTGATAAATTAACAATCTGAAGTCATTTTTAAAGGAAATGATACAAACGTTGGCTGGTTTCAGCTTCTCAAAGGATTCGATGCTTTTCTTTGTGTCACGTGACGGTGAGCTGAAGATGTTTTGTTTCAGAACATCTGAAGATGTCGACAGGGAAGTTTTAACAGGCGTTTCTTTATTTTATAAATCTTTTTTATTGACGAAGCAGCTGGCAGACTGATCCAAAATAAAAAAGATGTGAGCTGTTGTGTTACAGCTGCAGTTAAAACGATCTATTATTTGATCAGGGAGGTGATTAACAAACGTTTGATGGTTCCAGATGTGAGACTTTGAAGCAAATCAAATATTTTGGGGTCAAACAAAACAAGACACAGAATAACTTCAACAAGTCCTAATAACGTCATTAATTAACCAACAAACTTGACCAGGACCTGACGAAGCAGCAGAAAATGTAAAATACAACAGAATCGATGCTGAAGTCGATGCTGCAGATTCTGTTGCTCCTCTGGTTATCTGCGTGTTTCTGTTTTCCTCTGAAGCTCGTTGATGTTCACTCAGATCTTCTCCCCTGCAGACGTGACGCTCAGCGCTCTGAATGACTCGGACGTGAACAGCGACTTGGTGGACATCGAAGGACTCGGCGACGGTTCGTCCAGCAAGAAGCTCAACTTTGACCAGGGTGAGTCCAAACAAACGAGGTTTTAAGTTTTACTGCAGTTATTCGATTCTTACCAACACGCCGTCACTAAGACACAACTTTAGCACCGACTGTCCCTGAAACACCACAAATGTACCCGAACCCCGAACCCAACCTACAGGCTACAACAACAGTCTGTGGAGATGTAACTCTGGTCTCGTGATGGTGGGAACTGGGGCTGCAACTAGTCGTTATTATTGCTGTTGATTAATCTGTCAGTTATTTTCTGGACCAATCGAAGAGTTGTTTGGTCTCTAAAATGTCAGAAAATGGTGAAAAGTGTCAATCAGTGTTTCCCAAAGTTTCAGCGTTTGGCTTCAACTGGAGAAAAGGCGACACCTCAGGTTAATCGGATCGTAGAGAAATGTAGGGGAGGTAGTCTTATATTTGGGTTCCTAGGATGTTTTTATGTCCTTTCCACAGACGAAGCTTCAGTTTTACTTGTAGAAGCCAAACTCCTGATTCTGAAACCAACGTTTCTCTGGTGTCCAGTTATAAGACGACTCTACTAAACAACAAAACATGGTCTTATATTTGGGCCGACACATTGGTCTTTGTCTCCAGAGTTTACTTTCACTGTATGTTGTGTTTTACTTCAGCTAAAGAAAAGGCTTCAACTCCGGATTTGCGCGACACTTCCGGAGGCAGTCTTAAACTCAGAACCCTACGAATGTTTTTATGCCTTTTCCACAGACAGACTTGTTGTACTTGAACAAACCAAAACCTGGATTCTAAAGCCCACGTCTTCCGAGTATCCAAATATAAGATGACTCCACGTTTTCAAACCTAGTTTCCAAGAAAACATGGTCCTATATTTGAGACAATACTCTGTGGGGTGGTCTTATATTTGGGCCCCTACCAGTGGTTTTATACCTTTTCCAGAGACCAAACTTCAGACAGTTCAGTTTTGCAACTGCCGATTCTAAAACCCGCCTCTCTCTAGTGTAATGTAAGACGACTCTGTTGTACTTGTACAAACCAAAACCTGGATTCTAAAGCCCACGTCTTTCTTGTGTCCAAATGTAAGACGACTCCACGTTTTCAAACCTTCTGAGAAAACGTGGTCTTATGTTTAAGACAATATATGGTGGTTCTTCTTCAGAGGTTATGAGTTAGAGTTACGTGTTGGTCCAACCAGAGAAAAGCTTCACCTCAGATGAACCAGATCTCTGTGAACTATCGGGGGTGGTCTCATATTCAGGCCCCTACAAATGTTTCTGTACCTTTTCCACAGACGAAGCTTCATGTCACTTGTTTAACTTGTCGAAGCCAAACCCGTGACTGTAAACTCACCTGTTTCCTCAGAGAGCCTCAACCTGGACTCCAGCCTCATCATGAACTCCAGCGATCTTCCCCTTCTGTCCCGCTGACCTCCGACATCTCAGACCGCAGGAAGCTGGAGCCGCCGCAGAAACGTAGACTTTTATTTTTTTAAAAGGAGGACGGTCCTGTTGCCTGTCGCCGTTGATAAAACGTGATTCTCTGCATTTTGTAGTTTGAAAGCGTGAAACTAAACCCGTGTATTTTATTCTGTTAGAGGCGGTGACGGATCAGGTCGGGTTTCTTCTTTCGTTTTTAGAAACAGATTTTTTTTTTTTTGAAGCAGAATTATGTTTTCAGGTCAGTTCCTGTTTGGAAATCACACAAACATCCGTCGTTTGACGTCATCATGAAGAATAACGTCGAGCTGATGCTTTAAATAATGTCGTCGGTGGGAAATCAGATGATAAATTATCCACTCAGATGAATCATTTCTCCTTTTTTTTTATTCTTGAAGTGAAAACAGAATGACGTAGAATAATTATTGTGCATCAATGTGCAGCCTGGATCAGGTCTGTAAAATTGGAATTTCTTACAAATAAAGACGTTTGTGTTGTAAAAAGGTGTTTAAATGTTTAGTCTGTTGGACCGAAACCTCAGAAAATGCAGAAATGAAGGATTCATTTCGGCCAAGAACATAAAAAACATGGAAGAAACATTAACATAAACCAGCGTCATCATGTTGTACAGACGGACCAACGGTCACGTGTTTGTTGGGATTAAAAACTGAAGCTGCGTCTTAATTAATGTTTTCTAATTGTACAGGAAACTCAGACGAGTCTTTGAAAGTGTTGTTAAGCTGCTGTCTCGGGTTTGAAAGATGGCTAACCAGAGTCTTTATGACATCTGGAGACAAAATGTAAAACGACAGATGGTGTGAAGGTGAAAACTGATGATTTAAGTATCAGGATATGAACGGACGGTTCAGCAGAAGTTTTTCCTTCGAGTCCGACTGGGATGTTAAAGTTCTGGTGGTATTTTGTATTTTTGCTCTCAACAAATCTCACAAACAGAATCGACCCTCGGAGCTCATCGGTTCCTACTGAAGACGTAAAAACACAAATACAGTTGAAACCAGAAGTTTACAAAGTTCTTGTGAAGATGCTGCTGAAGCTG